AGATAAGCAAACAAAATATCTGGACCTGGCTCACGAGGTGACCGACATGTGGGGGTGGTCTGCCGACCGAAATTATTCCTGTAGTCGTCTCTGCAAACGGGCTAATCCCAGTCAGCCTCTCGGGTCATCTGAGGCGACTGGGACTCCGTGACGGACCGCTCCGGGCTCAAATGCAGAAGGCAGTGGTCCTCGATACCGCCCGCATCGTCCGTCGGTTTCTTTCCCTTTCCCCCTAACTCTCGGCCGTTTGGTCTCCCCTGCCGAGGGCTTCCATCTGGTTGGATCTTTATTTATTTGTGTATTTTTTGTATTTATTTTATTTTATTGATATTTATGTATATTTATCTTTTCATTTTAATTTATAATTATATATTTATAGAAACCAACCAGATGAGAAAACTATACAGATACCCCAAAAATAATAATAAGTTCTTTATTTTCTAGAGGTTGTACATCACGATATTTGCATAACATTATTTAATAAAGCTACATTAGTACATATACTTGAAAACATAGCATCTGCAGCCGAACCAGGAGACCTGTGCATCAGCTGTCAACGCCATATCCCCACCGTTAATTTATAGAAATATTAGGATGCAAGCAAATGTTAAATAATCAAATACTATCTCAAAAATTTGTATATTCCGCTAATATAACCTAAGTACAATGAAATTAATTGTATCACATATTATGTTTATATACTATGTTACCACTTATTACTAATACCAGGGTACAACAAAATAATAATTTATACTACTAATGCCGTTCCTCCCTCATAAGATGTGTAATGTATGACTGTAAGAAGTAATTGTGTTATGAGTGTCGTGTGTGTGTGTGTGTGTGTGTGTGTGTGTGTGTGTGTGTGTGTGTGTGTGTGTGCGCGCGTGTGTGTGCGTGCGTGCGTGCGTGCGTGCGCGTGTGTGTGTGTGTGTGTGTGTGTGTGTGTGTGTGTGTGTGTGTGTGTGTGCTGTGTGTGTGTGTGTGTGTGTGTGTGTTTGCGCACGTGCGTGTGTATGTGTCTGGTTATTATGATTTTATACGGGTAGTATTAAAGGTGACAGTTATATAAGAATTTATTTTTAAGTCTGAATACTAAGCAGGTTTTCAGTTTCATTATAAGTTAATTTTTGTAGGTAATTATGTACAGTTTTTTTACAATTTATTTTATTAAGGTGGTAAATGTCCAATGTTTTATTTAGTTTATTATATAAGTGTGGTCCCAAAAATGCAAAGAATTTTCTTATAAAAGTTGTTTTAAAATTGGTTGTATCTACGGAAAATTTCCTGCGTTTATTTAAGTTCGATCGGTTGTATACTAATAAGCTATGTTGTTTCTGAATGATCGTTAATATAAACAGTTGTCTTACTGTAAGGACCTGACAGTTATCATAAAGCAGTGATGTAGGATAAAAAAAAAGGTTTAAATGTTGCAACTTTGAGTATAACACGTTGAGAGATTTCTATCTTTTGTAGCACGGTTTTAGACGCACCACCCCACGTTGATATGCAGTATGTTATAATAGACTGACATAAAGCTAAGTAAACTCGTTTTAATATATCTGGATCCAAAACGTGTCTACTAGTTTTAAAAATATATATTAATTTATGAATTCTTTTGCTAAGTGTGTTAATATGTTGTTTAAAATTTAAATTACTATCTATTATAACCCCTATATATTTAATATATTCAACAGACTCAAGTGAAAGGCAGGAACAGCTGTTATCCCTTGTTAAACAATCATATGAATGAATCACTAAGTTAAAATTTTCAAGGTTGCGAATAGGTTTTCTTAATGAATAAATATATATTTTGTTTTCGTAATATTGATTGAAAGTTTATTACTGTAAAGCCAATTAGTAACTGCATTTATACCTAATTGTGCAGACGAGAATACATCTTTCCACTTATCCGCAGCTAATATCAAAACAGTGTCATCTGCATATGAAATTATATGTCCCTGAGAGAGATTAAATTTTGTAAAATTATCAATATAAATAAGAAATAAGGTTGGGCTGAGTATACTCCCTTGTGGTACGCCGTGTGTTACTAGTGAATCATTGCTGGTAATATTATTTACACTAACGCATTGATATCTCTCAGAAAGATATCTTTTGAATAGTTTGAGTTGAGTGCCTCTAATACCGACATTTTCCAGTCTTTTTAATAGTATTTTTATTGACACGGTATCGAATGCTTTCGCCAAATCTAAGAAAACAGAAATACACTATTTTCCACTGTCTAAATACGATGACAAAAAATTTGTAAGAGTATGAACGGCATGCTCTGTTGATTTGCCATGTCTAAAATCAAAACTGCGTATTTGACAATAAATTATTTTTCTCCAGATATTTTGTAAGTCTATTATTTATAATTTTCTCTAAAATTTTGGATAAAGCGGGTAATATATAGATAGGTCTATAATTACTTAAACAGGTTTTTTCACCATCTTTAAAAATAGGTCGAACTACGGACTTCTTAAGATATCTAGGGAATACACCATCATTTAAACATTGATTGAATATACAAGTTAAAGGAGGTATTAACAAATATTTAAAATTTTTAATAAATTTATTCGAAATTCCATCCCAACCAACTGAACAGTCGGTTTTCAAATTGTCAATTAATAATTCTACTTCCCTTTCATCCGTGTCCAATAAAGCAAATGAATTTAAGTAATAATTTGATTCTTCACCAATGTTAATATGAAAACTTTAACTGTTTTTATTTCCTACCTTAAAACTCTCTGCCAAACTTTTACCTACATTTACAAAATAATTATTAATAAGGTTAACAGATACTTGCGGCGTACTAGATATATTTAACAGTTCTCTGTTATACCCTTTCTTTTTCATGTTACCTATAATATCAGTAAGTACTTCCCACAGCTTCTTATTATTATTTTTAGCCATATTCACTCGCTCTTTTTCATAATTTCTCTTTACTTTTTTTAACAATGCGTTACAGTGATTACGATACCGTCGGTATATAATTTGATCACTTTCACTATCTGGAAATCACCTAGCCCTCTTATGTAGTTTATCACGGTGATGAATACATCTAAGAAGACCAGTCGTAATCCAAGGTTTAATGATCTTTTTTTGTCTTGGCAACTTCACTAATTTAGTATTAACTTCAATTACTGTTTTTATTTTATTAACTAAGTATTCAAGAGAAGTATTTGGATCTTTAATATTATATATAGGTAAAAAGTCAATGTTTTGCATATCCGAATTAAGTTTATCGTGATCTATTTTTCTGATAGTAGTTGTATAAAACTGTTGACGTTGTTTATTTTTCATACATAAAATTACAGGTTTGTGATCAGTGATTGAAGTTTGAGGAACCATAGTAAGTGAAGGATTATTCGTTTTTAGCAGAACATGATCAATACACGAACCACTTGCGTCACGTGTTACTAAAGTATGAGTAGGTAATAACCCATGAAATGCTGTCAGTTGTAAATACTTATCCGAATTAATATCTGTTTTATTCTTAATGTTAATATTTATATCTCCTATTATAATTATGTTTTTATGTTTCGAATATTTCTGTAGTACACTATCCAAGAAGGCAAAAAAGTTTTCTACATTTTTATATGACGGTGACCTATATATTGAGATTATAACAATATCATTCAATGTTGTTATGATACAATTCCCTTCTTGAAAAATGAGGCTCCTCAGTCGTGAACAAATGTTTTTCTTTTACATATATTACTAATCCGTCATTTTGATTGTTATTAAAATTAGTGGAGCATAAATTATAACCAGTAATTTTAGGTAAGTTGTCTTTATTAAGCAACCAGCATTCACTTAGTACGATGACATCAAAATCTATTTTTAATCTAGTCAGTAATACTTCAAAATCTGTAATATTGCAGTTAATACTTCGTATATTCTGCGTAATAATTGTGAAGTTGGATTCACTAGATGACAAATACTTATAACAATCTTCAACGTCACAGGCTATCGATCTTGATACCGTAAATTTATCTAAGTTAATAGCGAAGCTTAGAGCGTTATTATCGCCTTTTATTTATTACTTTAAATTTCTCTAACAAAGTCTCGTTATTGACCAAATAATATCTTTTATTCGATAAATTGATTGAAAAATGTAACTGCAAGTAGTATATATAAAATGAGTGAATATGATTTATTTTAAAATGTAAGTGTATAAAAAGTAATTTAAAAGATGTAATTAAGTTGTATAATGTTTGATTTTTGTTTATGTACTGTGTGTAAATTGTGACAATGTGTATTATAATGTATAGTGTTAGAATATACTTTATTATTATTATGCTAGTTAAAAATAAAAGAAAGGATGCGAAAATATCTAATCTAAAGGTTAAAACTAGTCATTCGGTCTTCCGTAGATTTTCTAGATCTGTTTCATTATTTATTCTAATTTGAGAAGAATTTTCATTCTTGCGTAAGTATACAATGCCTCTAGATGTCCAGCAGAATAAATATTTATGACTTTTTTGGAAAATTCTGGCCTGATAGAAAAGTTTTTGAGTATTTTGTGTTAACGTCTCCGTGACATATATAGGGATGTTTTTTTGTGAGTAATTTAGATGCGAAGTATTTAATTTCTCATTTTTTGGTTTTGTTTTATTAGTTTTTTTTTACTTCATGTAACATCTTTTCTTTAATAATGACTGAATTAAATTCCACTATTATCGGTCTAGTCCCCACACTATATTTTTTGTTCTATACACGTCTTTCATGTCCGAATCCTGCAAATTTACATTCAAACACTCCCCTAATTTTTTAACAGTGCTACATAGATTTTTTTTGATTCTTCATTGTTTTTAGGTATGTTTCTTATTTCTATTCCCGGAAATCTGGACTTCCTTTCCATATTTTCTATTTTCTCCTGTAGTTGTTGTATAATATATCTATCCTGCCTTTTCTCTTCCTCTAGAACGGATATCCGTGATAGAAACTCATCATATATGATTGACATAGTATCGACGCTCTTTTTTTAATTCATCGTTCTGTTATTTTATACTAGAAACTATAGTTTGTAAATCTTTGAAATGCTTTGCTTGTTCATTCGTATAAACTGAAAACATTTCACTCATATAAGACATAATGTTAGGATTCACTCCGTCATGTTTCCTTTCTTTACGCTCAGTAACATTTAACGTAAGCGATGGAATATCAGGCCCCGATTCACTGTGAAGTTTTGTCGTCCGTTCTATCGCGTAAATTGCGCGCGTCCGCGATGTCTGCGATTGCGATGTATCATCAGAGCTCACAGACGCGGGCGAAGCGGGCGGCGGTGTACGGTTGATCGGCATTGTATAACCGGTTTTGAAGTAAAAGACGCCTCAACGTTTAATTACTAGGACAATATGAGTTAGAAAGTGTGATCGCAGTATATTTGAGAACTCGTACCCCTAATGCAACCGTACGAGTAAAATATAACCGTCTCTTTTCTCATCGTTTTGCTAACGTGTGGTGTCTTATGCTGTGTCCTATTTATTTGTAGATTGTAAATGTGATGGTTTTACTCACACATATAATTTACTTTGTTGAAAATTAATCACTGCCACAGATGTTATTAGCACTTCGTAAACTGCCTCGGGCTTTATGCACTCCTAATATTTTATCACTATTTTGTCACAGCATTTATTAGATAATACAAGTAATAACTATAAACACGTCTTTACTCTTTGGAAGTCCGGGGGAAGTACCTAATATAACTAAAATAGAGGAAATAGGCCTCATTTACTCTATTTCACTCTATTGTGGACAGTTAGAATGTGTCAAAAAGCACGTATGGAAATTCACAATGCTATGTTAAACCCCTACTTTAACATATGGTAATGAAAGTTGGGTGTGGCAGAAGAAGCAAGAGAGTAGAATAAACGCAGTAGAAATGCGATCGTTAATCGGATAGAAAGGCAGATGCTGGCGACTTATTCCACTCCTTTGATGTACGCATGATGAACGACGTAGCAAACTGTTTGGTTCAAATGCGTGGTGAGTCAACAGCGCAAGGATGGAGACTGGCTGGATGTTTGATTGTCTGATGATAGGAGGGAGAAAGAGGAATTAAATTATCCGATTCCTGCGCCCACTCGCTGAAATACATCCTGCAGAAAAACGAAAGGCTGGCTGGCTACTTTGCGCCTGTGTTTTAGGCTGGTAAGATTGGTTTTAACCAAATTCGGGACACCAATAAGCCTCTTCATTCATTTGCACGCCTTTCCATTGAGTCCAAAGCTGCTATATGGCATTTTTGCAGTAACAGCTCATATATGGCAGCAATACCCCATACACTTACGATACTTATTATAGACTTGCGCTTTATGAAAAGTAAACAGCTATCAAACATCTTATTTTTTCCTTTCGGTAAACATGTCACACGACACACTTGGAACTCTGACACGTCGTCACATCTACAACACTTATACAATGTGTATACTCCATAATAAAACTGCTGCCCCTACTCCCAATTAGCTTCACCAGTTTTTTACCAGTTACCCGATTCCGGAGATTCAGTAATTCCTTTAAGAGACAGTGTATACGCTTTTACAAAAAAGTCTCAGATAATATAGTATAGCAGATAGTATAATATAGTATTCCTTATCTATCAAAAAGTTAAAACATTTTAGTAAACAAAATTGTTTATTAAGGGTGTATTCTGTGATAAGGTTGTTATACTACTAAAGAGTACATGATTGATAAAAACAATAACCCATGGTAATGAGTAGATCACTGCCATGCTCTTTCTAAAGTTTTCATATCAATTGTATAAAATAATATGTTGTAAAATAATTTTATTTAAAAAAAAGTCCAGCTGGTTCATCCCAAGACAGAAGTTTTCTTCGTACCAGTGGTAAATGTAAAAAATGATTTTCAATAAGTATTTCTGTTATCTATATTGTATTTTTTTTACTTTTTTCTCCACTTGACGGCATAATTAGAAGAAATAAGTCCACGAAAAGCTTTATAAATGTAAAATATAAGAGTGACAGATGACATGAAAGTCTATACTTCATGGTAAACGGTTGTTGCAGTACATACGCACCAGCAACCAACCTGCAACAAAGAAGACAGGAGATGTGTTAACCTCTGAAGTATTAGCATAGTGAATTATACCAGAACTCTTTTAGAAAGGAGAGGGTAATGAGACTTTAGTTATTCATTGAACAATTTGATGAAAAGGTTGACGCAATGAACTCTGTAGTTGTGTTCTACACATGCAGCTGAAGTCGCATACTAATAAAGAAATTTATGGAAATTATAAAATGAATTAAAAATTCATATACTGTATATAATATATAAACTATACATAAACACATCAACAGAATCTAGGGATATTTTATATTACATCAAATATCTAAAAATCTATGAAGAATATTCTGATATATTAAATTGAATTATTTTAAGTTCTTTACTAAAAAATAAAAACATTTCGTAATTTTTTGTACTAAATAGAAATGTTTATTTTTTACTCGCCGTAGAAAATAAGTATGGTAAAAAAAAATTAATTTCTTCTAAACCTATTAATTTAATTAAAATTCAAAAAAATTATTATGAAATCTAATTATTAATAAATTAAATGTTGCCAACTCTTATATTAATAACACATCGACATCGATTCTTCAAACTATATAACACACATCATTCTTATTTTTACGCAAATCTTAGCTAATTAATTATAACATTATTAATATAATATAATTTCACAAAGAAAGGCCTGATTTTGTTTATTAAAAGAAATAATCATTAAAGTTTGATCACAAATAACGAAGGTGTAACATTTGTACGAAAAATATACAAAAATATACAGTGACATTATGAATTGTGAAGCTCTTATTTTTAAGTCGACTTACGAAGCGATGTTTTATAAAAATATAGAGGCTTCGTTCTTGATTGTCAAGAATAAAATATACATTCATGTTTTGGGACGCAATCGACCGGAACAATTTAGTTTGGAGATGTAGAGTTTTCTATAGAGAATAAACGACGTCTACATTCACAATAAAACTGAATATATTTTATTTCAAACTATATTTTGTACAGCTATATTATAGTTGCAGTACGAGTGTGTCGGCTTGACCGTGCTTTTACAGAATACCAGGGTAAAATAGCAGCCTAATAATATAAATACTATCTCTCATCATACTTTCCGTCCTTTCTTGTATCTGTCCTACAGCTGTCATCATCTTGTGTTTTGGCTGTGCGTCACAGATGATGTGACAGATGAGTCAGTCACACGTCTATATATAGATGACTGTGTTAGCCAACCTGCCCACCGGCGTGGAAACTATGGCAAAATTCCCCCTGTAATGTGATCTATGGTAGAGGCCTATGTTCAGCAGTGGACTTTTATAGGCTGTAATGACTGCATAAATGAATGTATGAATGTAACGTGGTTATTGTCCAGTGTAAGACATAATGTTATTTAATTAAATTTTTAAAACAAATATTTTTGTTAATTTAGCAGTATGTAACGGTTTTTAAGAGCTGGTTATTATGGCTACGACAGGCAAAAACAAGCTTTTTGTGACAAAAACATAAACGTAGAAAGAGACTACACAATTACATTTGGCATGTTCAGGACACACCTTTTTCGTTTCTTTCACATTCATTCACAGGCAAAAAAGGGCTACCCTGCAGAAGCGGGGAGTGCTCATCGCACACCACGTAGCCGGCTGCGTAGTTATGTGAAGAACTGCCACAAACACATCTGCTGTCTTCCTTATTTGAGTTTGGATGCAGCTACTGTATACTGCAACAGCCACTTACCATCAAGTATACACTTTCAACTTGTCTGAAACTCTTATATTTTACATTTATAAACCTTTTCATTGACTCTCTTCATCTAATTATACCGTGAAGTAGAGGAGCAAGTAAAATAATACACTATCACACATCATTTTGTCTCTATCAAAAGGCGTACGTGTTTGCTGTGGCAGAAGGTTTAATATCTCAGACCACCGACACCAGAAACGTTGGCAAAATAAAAAGATAAGTAAATAAACCGCGATTAAATTATCGACAATAATAATCCACCAATTAAATTACATTTCCAAGCAATTTGCGATGTGAGCTGTCACTGATAAGAGGATATGATAAATATCAAATGTACAACTTTAATATGCAGGCAGTATGCTACGGTAGATGACGACAATGTGTGTGGGCCGTCGCTGCCTTTGTAAACGGGCTCCGGTATGGCCGCAACAGTGTAAGTAAGAGGAGACCCTTCTTACTGGTACTGAGGCATACTATATAAGTGCTCTTTATCTGGAGGGCTGTAATACTGGTTCTGTACACCCCCTCAGACTGAAATCCAGCGTATTACTGCAGCTAAGCGCGTAACGTACTTAGCTGCAGTAACAAGTAAGGAGGTATAACTTGACTAAGTAATACAAGGAGAATTTTAATTAATCTATCATGAACTTCTGTAGAAGTAGAAGGGTGAAAAACAAGTGTTTGTACTATATAAGTTATTCGGTGGAAATTTTGGCGGGTAGTTGACCGCTGGCGGATTGCTTTTTCTGTTTTATCGATTAAATAATGATTTGAAGTGGATTTTAATACGTAAAAGTGATGCGAGTGTGTGCACTAACGGTTTGCGCGTGAGCAATACTGTGAGTAGGAACCACGAAACAATGGCTGTAAAGCTCACGTGAACCTTAAGTTATTGTCTGCTTAGGTGCCTTAACAACTGAAGATAATGTCATCATACACCGTCTGCTGGCTAAGTTTTTTTTATAGAATAAGGGTGACAAACAAGCACACAGTCCACCAGATCTTAAGTGGATGCTGTGGCCCATAGACATCTACGTTTATTTTCAATTAAAACTGCAGAATTGAGCTGCTTTCTTAATCTGGAATTCTGTGAGAGCATGTTCCTCCCCAGGTAGGTAGGTCCCCCATTCGTGCTACAGCCATAATATAGCTGCAACGTGACTGTAGTACGTATAAAACCATAAAAACAACTCGTAGCGGCGCTGTCGTCGCGCCACAAGCGAAAACACACTGAAGCCTAAATCGCGCTATCAACATTCCGAATTATGAACAGTATATATAGAACTTCTCCGAACTATCACACGGAGTGTCAGCCGCTCCCCGGGCAGAACACCTTGCCCGGCGGGAGATCTTCCCTTTTTTCTTCCACGGCCATGGTGGTGACCACCCGACGTGATCTGAACACGCAACCAACAACCTTCGGAAGCTTCAATCTTCATTATCATCATAGAATACCCCACCCATTCACTCCCGAGCAGATACTGTCCGCAGTCTTCACATTCTGCAAGCCATCTAGCTTCACAAGGTTCATCGC